TGAATGTTGTGTGAATTGTGATCACTGTGTCTATATTACAACTCAATGAGGAATTTAAAATCCAAAAGCTTACAAATCTTAACTCTGTGTATAGGATGAGAGATTTTTATCTTACTCAAAATCTTCATGCGTTAGCCATGATGATCTAACAGTGAACACACCACCTACTTCTGTTGTCAAAATACCCCAGAAGTTACACCTAATGGAAGGTGAGATCACTTTTCTAAAGAAAGGACTAAATTTTGTTCCCATTAAGAAACATATAAATGAGTTGAATGTTTGACTTGGTGTTTTACGTCAGTATATTTAATTACAATGTTGTCATGGGAATAAAGATTATCTAAAGCTGTTTCTTCATTTCTAGTGAGGTTTCTAACAGATGTCACAGTTGTGAAATCCAAGTATAAATTTTCTTTCGACACATTTTGCTATGTAGTAATTGAGAGGAAGAAATTTCCCACGTAGGGAGTCCACTTGTTAGTTTGTTTCTGTAGCTGAGAAAGAAATGACTTACTGTTGTTGGTAGGTGGCATAGGTGTTTCCTGTCTTGACTGATCTGTAGTTGAAGTGTAGAAATGAGCTTGAAGATGTAAAAGTCAAAAAACATACTTCTGTAGTGGAATGGACAGTCAAGAGGGCTGTTATCACAGATAGCATAGAATGATTGATCTGATAGTTGTCAGTAAGCAACCTGAAGATAAAATTATTTCTTCCAAACCACCACTGCTCCCTCTTTTAATAATAAGCAATAATGAACTTCCATTAGAAGCTAAGAATTTAATTTTTAAATACCCCAGGCTTTCTGTATTCTATCTTCTACCTAAGATACAAAAGCCAGTCTATCCTGGCAGACCCATAATTTCAACATGTAGCTGTCCTACTGAACTTATCTCTAGTTATTTTGATTCCATCCTAACCCCCTTAGTTCATCAACTCCCTACTTACATTCAAGATACCAGTGACACCTTATAAGAAGTTGAGAATTTTAAGTCAAAATCAACTTTATTATTTTATTCACACTTGACATAATGTCGTTGTATACCTCCATTCCACATACAGATGGACTGAGAAGAGATAGTCTAGACCAACATACTGAAACCCTGATTAGATTAGCTGAATTAGTTTTATCATTAAATGCCTTTCTTTTGAAACCAAATTCTATAAACAAGTGAAGGATGTAGCCATAGGTACAAAAATGGTCCCTCTTACGCCAACCTCTTTGTCGGTTACATTGAAGATTGCATACTTCAGAACTACACAGGCACCCTCCCTGCCTTATATTGTAGATGTGTTGATGATGTTTTTGGTGTAGCTATATACATTAATGATGAATTCAATCTTTTTGTTCAGTTCCTTTAATCCTTTCACCAAATACTCCAATACATGTCTTCTATTTCTAGTCAAACCATTTCATTTTTTTACATAAATATTTCTGTCACTAATGATGGCAATCTCCCAACATCTGTACATTACAAACTGATGGAAACACATAGCTTCTTACATTACTCTCATTATCCTCAATATGTCAAGAGAAACATTCACAAATCACCAGATTGCATAGGCTCTGCAGCAGCAAACAAGATTATAATTGCAAATCTATCAACATGATCCACTTTTTTTAAAAAAATGTGGCTACCCTACTTTTCTTCTTCATCACACTAATCTACATACAAGCAATAAATGTCCAAATTTAGCTTTCTAGAAATTGCTCAGTAATTATAACACCAACACCAAAGATAATTCAAAACTTCCAACTACGTGTGTCCAACCAACACACTCCTACTTCCAATGATCATCAACACATTCCCCTTACACTTATGTTTCACTCATTCTACACATAAGTAACAGGTATAATCTTTGACAACTTTCACCTCATAACATAGGACAATACCATTGGTCATGTTTCCTAACAAACCTGTAATTTCTTATAAACGAGACACTAACATTAAAGATTTAATCTTTCATAATCAACTTCCGATTAACATACAACTATCATCTGCTACTGAAGTTCATACATACAGTGTTCAGAGGAGCAGATGCAACACTTTTCTTTACATTGATCATAGAACATCTGTTAGAGGCCCAAAATCAATGTATTCTGTGAATAGCCATTTCACCTGTACATCTAAATTTTTAATTTATTGTATAATTTATAACAAGTATGAGCAAATCTACATAGAAGAAACCAGCTAAATGCTCACTGAATGTACACAAGAACACTTAAGGAGCATTTTGATTAAAGATCAAGATAAATCTGTATCTTGGCACTTTAACAAAGCTGATCATTCTCTTGAACACTTTAAAGTATTTCCCTTATGTCATTCCCCCTCCAACAACAACGAAAGAATCACAATCAAAACATAAATAATTAGAAATTAAACTTTTAGAGAAAAATCACTAGT